ACTGCCTCAGCCATCTGTCTAAGCTGAGGGATGAGCTCCAGAGGGAGGCCGGCTGGAGTGTGAAGGAGTCCTGCCCTGTCTCACCCACGATGTGCTCTTACCCTTTGGCCTGGGCACGGTGATGCCTAGTGTAAGGTACACGGATGTGCTTTGGTCAAGGAATAGGCTGAGGCGGACATCCAGGCCAGAGTGACTCAGCGAGTTTAGGGGGCAGGCACATACTCCACTTGCTATGTAACCTGTTTGTGTAAGTTCATACTGGACTCTACTGTCAGTAGAAGGTATAACTGCCCTGCTGACGCTGTGCATGGGGCTCGGTTCAGCTCGGCACGGCAGGGCACACTGGCATGCCCAGAGAGAGAATAATGCTACTAACTCCTGTAAGGGAGAGCCGGTCGCCTTGAAGGTGGGCAGTGGGGAGCCGGGAACCGGCTTTTGCCCAGAGGGAAAGAGTTAAGCTGCTGACCCTGACAGAGCTGGCCTTGCAGGCCAGGGAGTGCAGCTGCAGGCGTGGGGGCAGCAGGAGCCCCAGAGCCAGAGCACACAGCCCAGATAAAGGTGGACAGTGTGAGAGAGCTGCTGCTGAGAGAGCTGCTGAATAAAACTACATTTCACCTGCCTATGGCCCCCCAAGTGTTCTTTCAGCTATCTGCTCCCTCCCTCCCTCCCTCCAGACCACAGCGTGGGCTCAAACCTGACCCCAAATGTAACATTTGGTGTAGTTATGGACCTGACACCTAGTCCTTGTCCAGTCCAGTCATAGCAGACACCAGACTGTGTCCATACTGGAGAGGGCTCAGTAGAGCCTCAGCACAAAGTATCCCTGCTCTCTGGTTTCTAGAGCACTCCCCAGCATGTCAGTGCTGTGACAGACACCGGTGGTGCCTTCTGAGTCAATCCAAAGAGCAGGCTGTGGGCATGGGCTGTATCTGCCCCATTTCACAGAAAGGAGAAATTGAGGCTCAGATACATAGCAAGTGACCTGAAGTCACAGAGCCTGTGAGGGCGGAGTCAGGGCCCAAGCCTAGGTGTCCTAACTTGACACCAGCTCCCGCTCTCACCGTGTCCCTGCCCCTACATACCTGGCTGCGCCTGTGGCAGAGGTTGTACTGTTTGCAAGGCTGTTGGCTGTGCTCCTGCAGCCGGGGGCGATAGTTCTGGGGTGACATGATGCACCACGTGTCCAAGTTGGCACAGAGCTGGGGGCAACAGAGAGGACTTTACTGGAAAGGGAGGGTCTGTGGGGACAATGGGCAAACCTTTGGGGCAGGATGGATCCCAGCTGAGGACAGGACAGTGTGGGCCATTGCGGGTGTGGGCATTCGTCTACTCAAATATTGCTCGCCCTCTCTCTGCCAGTCTTGTTCTAGGCACTGGGGATACAAAGGAACTCAGATTGGAGTTGGAGAGACAGATAATAAACCAGTAAATAATAATAGAACCGGCCAGGTGCGGTGGCTCACGCCTATAATCCCAGCACTTTGGGAGGCCGAGGCTGGCGGATCACCTGAGGTCAGGAGTTTGAGACCAGCCTGGCCAACATGGTGAAACCTCATCTCTACTAAAAGTACAAAAATTAGCCAAGCATGCTGGCACACATCTGTAGTCCCAGCTACTCAGGAGGCTGAGACAGAAGAATCACTTGAACCCAGGAGGTGGAGGTTGCAGTGAGCCAAGATTGTGCCACTGCACTCCAACCTGGCTGACAAAGTGAGACTCGGTCTCAAGAAAAAAAAAAAAAAAAAAGAGGCTGGGCATGGTGGCTCACACCTGTAATCCCAGCACTTTGGGAGGCCGAGGTGGGAGAATCATGAGGTCAGGAGTTTGAGAC